AATGCTGTTGTCCATCATAATGGATTTGAACTTTTGACAGCCTATGTTTGAAGGTAGATTGGTTTGTTAATGTTATTGCATTTATTGAATGTGGGGATTTGTATAACTTCTTAATATAATTGGCTTTTGTTTACTAGACAGTGCAGGACAGCCATGGTAATAAGAATTAGATTCTGCTCTGTTGCAAGCTGTACTCATAATATACTCAAACATTCTCACTCCACTGGTGAATATTGTAAGGGGTGGGGGGAAGCAAAATGCTGAACTCCTAACTTGTCTGAACTACACATGGCTAGGTCTGCATTTTAAGAAGTGACATGAAGACCTTTTTGTGGAGAGTAATTTAAAGAGAATACAATACACACATCAGCACTTTAATTCAGCACAGCTCCTGGTTTGTAGCAGAGAGCACCACAGGCAGGGAGGCGTGAGCCAGCTGGGGAGCAGCAGAGTGTACCTGTGTGTCGAGTGAGTGCTTACATTCAGACTGAGCTTTGCGTGGGGAGCCAGAGTTTTAGTTAGCAGTGAGGTGTTTGTAATTGTCATTTAAAATTTCACATTTAAATTATGACTTGGTTGCATTTGCAACAACAAAGTTATATGCAAGAAATTAATTTTTGTAGAGGTTTGTTCCTATGTGATTGGTTCCTATGTGATGTGCCTCGATTTGACCTAATCGTTTTTGCCATTTAAATGTGGGGGTTTTTTTAGGCTTCATGTTAGAAATGTCTGACCATACCAGCTGCTCCAGCAGCTGCCGTCGCTGCATTCTTTGGGCTAGGTAGAGAATTTGGATCCATTTCAAGTGGGTATCTATAATTAGGAGTTAGGATCAGAGCATTTTTTATCCTCCAAATTTTAGAAGGAGATAGTTGGTGTAGAACAGAGGTGAAGGTAAAGAGAGAAAGTAAACTTCTCCCTTTGGGGGCATTTGGGCCTATTTATGTAGGATATTTATTTCTGAATGAGGCAGAACTTTTACTGGGATTCACATTTCTGAAACGAGGTTTCCATGCTAAAAGCTTTGCTGTTTGGTTTGTGTTTAAATCGGTCTTGTGAATCATATGGCAGAGTCCCCAGATACGTAGATATTTCAACTGCAGATATCATGTTGCTGTTTAGGGACAGGAAAATTTCTGGGACAAAGGAAGAAAATAAGCTTGCTGAATTGTACTGTCAGTAGACATGACTTAGAGGGAACCAGGTTTGTGTGCATTTTTCCTGAAGAGGAGAACAAATTACATGGATTCGGGGAAAATTAGTCAAGTTGGAGAAGGGCTGGATTTGACTGAGGAATTTCATGCAAATACTTCACCCTTGCAGCAGATAACATAAATGGATCAATCATTCAGTAAGTTCCATTTGAATCAAGGTTATGCAGACTACCTGGAGTGGTGACTGCTGTCTCTGGCAAGCAGTACTCTTTCACAGTCTGCTTGCTTCCTAAAGAACAGGGCGCTCGTAGTGTCCTGGTGAAATGGAGCGGGTTTGTCATCTTGTGCTGACTAGAATCTTAAGTTGCCCATGTTTTTCTTAGTGCATTCATATTACTTGGGCATACTTTCCACAATTTAGAAGAAAAGGAATTTATTCCATGTACCTTTGAGCTTGTATTCATACTTTTAAGGATTTAAAATGCTGCGGAAAACTCTTTTAAGAAGTACCAGCACAAGATTATTATATTGTCATACTTCTCTTTATGCCCAAAACAACTTTTTATGGGCCGAATATAATGCTAGTTGGCTCTCATGAGCGTGCCATCCATCTGTAAGGGCCTGTTTTCAATTTCATGTCTTTATATTACACTGTTGAAAGTCCCTTTGAAATGAATGATGAAATTAGTGATTTCAGAGAACATTCACTGGTAAAATAATTCCTCAAGTATTTACTCTCTTTTGCAGGGAGGGTCTTTTGGTTCTATTTTAAAACATCACAGGCAGTTTGGGTTTGGCATTTGCATTATTTAAAAACATGTTGAATTTGTTGTTTTTAGTTCCAAACTAAATCTGCAACATAATGGTTTGAACACTTGGATGATTTCTGTAAGCATATGTTCTCATTATCTTTGGATTTTAGTCCTACAAATACACTGGGACACTTCACTGCTTGTAAATGGGGGTTTCTGGGCTGAGTGGGAATTCTGAATAATTCCCTGCATCTGATGTTATTGTTATATACTTCCTCTTTACATCCATGTAGTTTTAGTAAAGATAAGGCACTGGATCTTAGTAAAAAGGGAATTTCTGCTTTCCTGATTGTCATCTCTCTTTCATAGCCCAGTCTCTCTGAGAGGTAAATGCTTGTACCTGTGGATCCAAACCTTCAGCTTCTCTGATCCTTTTGCTGGTATTGTCAGTGGAATACGTCTGTAGCCATGGGAAAGCTTGGGGTTTGCTCTTTACTGAAATTTAAGTCTTGAGGACTCTTTCCAGTTTCCATTTTAAGCTCAGATGTTGGGGTTTTCTTGTTTTTCAAAATTCTGTCTTTTATTGTGCTTATTTTTGGTTTTGCTAAGATAACAGTTTGGCAAGATTTGATGGGAAAGGAAGGTGAGAATATTAAGGAAAAAAAAAATCCAAGAAAAACAGTGGATATTCAAACATTCTGAATAATATGTTTTAAAAAATATGATAGTGGTTTTAGTGTACTGGTTACTAATTACAGCCTTTGTGATCAGAAGTATTAACTTAAGGCATAAAATGAGAGGGAAGACAACCAGCCAGGTTTTTGCTGCTAAAATACCTGGAGAGGAACTGCTGTTGTTTGCTCATAGCTAACCACACAACTGCATTTGGCGATTGGACAGGGGGAAGGAGAAGACAGCTTTTTTTTGTTTTATTAGATAATTCCTGAAATGAGCTGATAACCTGAATAATGGGTAATAAGTGTAAAACACCATGACCTTTTTCTAGCTAGCAACAGCAGCTACTTCTCATCTTGCCAGCCTCGATCTGGTGTATGCTTTAGCCCACAGATAACAGCCAGGCACTGGGTTACTCAGCTTTGACATCTAGGCAAATTAGTTGGAAAAGCAGCTTTTGGTAGCCACTGCAGGCACTTTGGTATTAATCTTTGATTCAGATGGAGCAGTGAGCTTTGATTCTGTCATGGTTGCAGCACAATGTGCATCATGGGTAAGTACAGCGTTCGCGGCGCTGCGGGGTGACCCTTAGCTCACTGCCCTGCTGGTGAAGCCAGCGGATCCTGCTTGCACGCACAGATGTCACTTCAGCTGATGTATTTTAATTCAAAAGTGTTTGCAGAGCGTGTGGTTTAGCTCTTGCAGGAAGACTAGAGCCACAAAAGGAAAGAAAATGCCTGAATCCATCTATGTTTGGGATTTAATACTGCTTTATGGTTATTAGAAAAAGTATAATTAATCTGATTTTCACCAATGCTGTATCTCTGGATACGTAAAGGTAAAAATGCTGTACTCAGTCTAATACCATTTTTCTCCAAGCCTTTGGTCTTCCCAATTGTTCCTCAATACAATGGTGTTTTGTAGTGGTGGTGGTCTTCAACAGTACTGCAAGTTGAGGTTTATGCAGTAAGAAACTTCCAGTGTCGATTTCTGATAAAATACTGATTCAGTCAGCGCTGGCCACTCTTTAACAGATGAAGAAACAAAGTTTTTCTGTGGTTCTGTTTTAAAGCTGTGTTCATGCAGTCATATTAATAGTACTTATTATTGTTAAGTATTTCATTTCCATTTTCACTCTTCAGCTGCCCTATTCTCTGCTTCTTTTAAAGTACTGTCAAGCAACCTTTCTCTTTTTCTAGCTTGGCAGCTAATGAGTGTCTATTTTCTGCTGAAACAGGAGTATGAGAAAACAAGTGGAGTTCTAAAAACAAAAGGTTAATTTCAACTGCTTTGCATTCTCCTCATATTACACATTGGGACACTCAACATATTGCCAGTGTCCCTAGGAATATGCCACTGCACATCGCAAGCAGAGGAGCCAAATTCATCCATTAGATTTTTTTAAACACTGAATTATCAGTAATTCTACTGGACATGTATGGTAGGTGGCAGGTGCCTCAAATCAGAGACTTTTATTAAAGAACTTATTTCTAATTCCAGCTGGGACTGGGTCAAGTGTTACATTGTCTATTTTTGCAGTGTGCTTAGTGTACTTAATTTCTGACCCATCTGGGAAAGACAGCGTGTTCAGGGTGGCTCCTAGAATTGAAATAGTGCTGGAGAGGTGTCTAACTACTCCCCTAGTCACAGGGGCACTTCTAATTCTTGTGGCAAGGATCATATTTATATGTGGGGAAAAACACAAAAGGCAAAAATAAAGACAAAACCCCCAGCTTTATTCCGAGCCTCAAGCAGACCCCCTTGCAATTTTTAACTGATTAGAGCAACACCTTTTTTTATTGATGAGAAGGTTAAGTGATCTATTGAAGCTATCGTTATGAAAATGCCAACCTGAGACTGTAGTTAATGTGGAAGGATTATTAAGTAGGTCATAGTTTAAGGGTGAAGAAAGCAAAAAAGTCAAAGAACCTAAAAAGGGGGCATGATAATGATAATTCCTGACTTCCTGTTAATAACAAGCTTACCATACTTGTATGGAAAGTGCTGGCACATAGGCTTGTAACGAGGCACCTGTGATGAACTAGTAGCATGGCCTCACCGTTAGCAGAACAGAGAAACTTTTTAGTGTTTGAAGAGAGAAGGTGAAGTAGCTCTGTACGGTACTTATTTCTTCAGTGGGTGGTTTGGAGAGAATGCTTTGTTTGTTTTTAATGGGTGGTTACACAGTTTCGATGTCACTAGGAAAACTCTGGATCATTTTTCATTTTTAAGTTGAAAGCCAGCTGTATCACACAGGGAAAGGGATTAGTTTCCTGTCAGCTTCCCTTTTGGAAAAACTCGTGTGCACACTGAAAATATTTCCAGCTTGGGCAAAGTATGTTTGAAAATACCTTTCGGGTAGAGTCATATTTTGATGGGCAAAGAAAGAGGACTCGCTTTCAGTTTTGCACGTTTACAGAAACATTTTGAGGAATCTAAGGGGCTTTTTTCTCCTTCCCTTGAAAAAGTACACACTGTTCAGGCAAGGAGAGTTTTGCTGGTGTTACCCTTGATCTCCTCTGGCGCTGAGCTCCGGTGGAGGGCGTTCTTTCCGAAACCACCCTGCACTTTGACCTGTGGAAAGGACTGCTGTGCTGTGTGTATGCAGCGAGGGGCACAGCATTTCTGTGCAGAGAGACAGCAGGAGGGCTTGATGGCTTTGTGTTCGTATACATGTGGATGAGAGCAAAATAAGACATGCAGGGCATGGTGGGAACGTGGAATTGGACTTTTTTGAGGCTGGATGTACCTGTTCCTAAAACACAAGGTAGGGGAGGTGCTGCAAATGCTTCTATTAGTGCATGTGTGGAGTGTGTACTAAGTCTCTGGAGTGGCTAAAAATAAAGTAAAAATTCTGGTTTTCTATCAATGTTCCGTGTACACAGGATAATGCAGATAGTAAATATTTATGTGAAACGTAGGAAAAAGGTGGAAGAGTAAGTGTGTATGCCATATAGCAATGTAAGGACGCCCTACTGTAAATATAAACTGAATACAAATTGCGATTGGCCATCAGTACTTCAGGATAAATCTTGATCAGGACTTAGTTTTAAAATGTTTGCTATTGCGTGCAACTTTTTTAACAGAAAAGTTATTTTCCTTTCCTTTATTCCTTAGCAATAACAGCATTCATGTGAAACCAGTGTTCTGTTTGTCAGATAGCTCCTCTTGCATTTTCATACCTGTGTTCATTAGCTAAAAACTCCATCCCTTGGGATGCTTTACTACAAAGGATGCCAAAAGTATCCCCTGGGAGTAATCTTTCACTAACAGAGAAATAAAGGAGATTTCTCCTGTAGGTGCTTTTTTCCAGCTTCAGATTCTAGAAACATCACAGCTCGCAAGCTCCATTAGATGCCAGAGCTCTGTTGAGTCACGTGGAAGTAAGCCTATATCAAACTGTAAAGTAACAGTAGGAAAGTGTTGCCTTTGTTTGTCAAAGCAAGCAGAGACACCAGTAAGCACGTGTCCTTTTCAAGTAGAAAAACTTGGAAATGAGCAGTCTTCTAAGAAATTTTGTTTTGTTTTGTTTTACATGGTGGTTGCTGAGCAACTTTCTCAGGACACTATTAGTAATTGCTGTCTGAAGTTAAATAATTCTTGAAACCTCCATTCTTCTGCTTGACTCATACTGTAAGGATGACTTCTGCAACAGAAATAGAGACTTAAGTAGATGATGGTGAAAATGGTGTTGGACATGAAAGCCACATCACCGTGTATCAGCTGTGTCTGAATTTGAACAAAATATGCTGGATAAAATGATACTAAGCAAAACTATGCAATTTGTTGTTGAGAGTTTTCGTGTACAGTACTCACCTGAGGATTTTCCTGTCTTTCCATTCTGTCCAGTGTTGAGGGTGAAGCTCCCAGCAGTGAAGCTGGCACATCTCTGGATAGCCCATCTGCCTACCATCAAGGACCTGTAACACACAGCTTGGCCATAAGCCCAGACCACTACGAGCACTCTGCCTACGGGCTGTATTCTGTCTCCCCTGGACAACAACGATCTCGGAGGCCCAAACTTCAGCACTCAACATCCATACTGCGAAAACAAGCGGAGGAAGAAGCTATTAAAAGGTCAAGATCACTTTCCGAGAGCTATGAACTCTCTTCAGACCTACAAGATAAGCAGGTATTTGGGCTTTGTTACCTAATTTATGGCAGCAGCAACATGTCTGTAAATGGGGAAGAAAATCTTTTCTAGCATCGCTTCAGTTGTGATGCTGAAAAAAACTTTTTTACCTCCAACCAACTTAGTTTGAAGTACTTATATGTCAGCATTTCTGAGGTTTTTGATGCTTTTTTCTGCGTTGTCATTCCTGTGTCCCGTACACTTTCCCCTCTCCTTGAAGAAAAGCATAAAAGATATGTTAATATATTAAAAGTAAATACAGTTCTACTAGGAATGATGAACTAATACTAGAATGTAATAATGCAAAATATTTTTCTAAGAAAATTAGTCATTTTGAAACCTGGATATCTTTGTTGTTGCTGAAAGAAAGAGAGGACTTACTGCAACTGATATTCTTTAATACCAATGGGATGAATTCAGGGTCTTAATTGGTTTTACTCAGCTGGTCAGAACTCCCTTAGGCTTTACAAAGAACTGCATGGAAGCTATGCAGATGTTCAAAGCCTTTGTCCCCAGAAAAGGCACTTCTGTAAGACAATCAGCCTCAGCCATTCCTTTTAAGTTTCATTCTGAACATAGTCTTATTTGAAAAATGTTTATTGCCATGTAAGTTCACAGTTATCATTTGAAAATGATACTGTAGTAGCTTGAGGTAAGCAAATACCCAGGCTGCACTGGATTTCACTGATAGATGAACAGCAGCCAATACATCACTGGGTTTTGGTTGGGTTTGTTTGTTTGTTAGAGATCTTTCTCGTCAGGGAATAGTTTGTTGACTGGTATATCACTGTGGTACGTTGCAGAGCCGCTCCAACCTGTACATTAACATGGTGAAAGGGGAAGGAGGCAAAATTCCACAGGCAAGAAGCAAACTGCTCCTGAGTTCGGGCCACACATTGATGCTCAGTGATATTTATAGGGGGAAGCCTTATTTGCCATCTGTTTGTTGTCCTGAAATTTCAGGCTGGAGAATTGTATAATGTTGTTCCAGAGAGACCTGTAAGAACAGAGCTTAAGCTCTGTCTTTGAACAGTCATCTGCACATTGTCTTTAAGTTGAACCCAATATTTGGGATAGCAAGTAGGACCTTATTTTAGCATTTATGCTGATCAAATTCTACATTGGAATGGGGACATATCAAGCTCCTGATTTGTGATCTAGATTACGCCAGCTCTGCTATTAAATTATACCTCCTTATAAATCCTGAAAGCTAAAATGTTACTTCCTTTTCCACTTTTGGCAGTCGTGTTCGCTAGCTGTCTCATCAGGGTTGGATACAGAGAGTAAGGCTTACTAAGGAGGTCTGCTGCACTGCGGATACTCCATGGAGCCTAATTCTATCTCTCCTTTTATGCCGGTTTGATAAAGAATGAGAACTGCAGATGTTATTTTGTATTTGTTCAGGGAGTCCTATACAATAAAAAGTGAAAGTGATACATAAAGGAAGCTTGATACTGAATTGCTGCTTACTACTCTTAAAAAAATCTCATTGAAATCTGTGAAGATACTTGAAAACTACTTAGGAAAACGTCCAAGGCTTTATCTAAAGGCAACATGCATTACTCACTCATTAAAAAGGTGCATTAAATACTCATTAAAATTCATTAGAAATATTAGTCACAAATCTAGTAAATCATCCAGGCAGATTCTAAAATACTCATAGTTAAAATTCTCACCAAAGCCCCCCCAGTTTATGATAGTCAACTCTGATGTTACTTTGGGTGTAAACCTGATGGACAACAGCCTGTTTGCAAGAATAAGGTCTGGGTAATTTATTTTACAGAATATTAGGTTTCCTTTTATTCTTTCACACCAGCTATGATAGTTTTGTTTTCTTTGTTTGACATTTGATCTTGAGAGAACTAAATCGACAATTTATCACTTCTTTTGAGATACATCCAGCAAAACAATCTCTTATGATTGATTTAAACACACGTGACCGAATATGTGCTACATATAGAAATAGTAGTAATGTGTGGCAGCAGTGGCAGGGTTGTGGTGGAAGTTCTTAATTTTTTTGATCTTCAGAATGCCTTACAAGTAACTTTGTAGCGTCTTTGACATGCGTAATATAATGCCCCCCCCCCCCATTTGTGGGTGAAAGGCTAAACAATTGTTTTAAAGGCAAACTATAGAAAATTATGCAAAGATTTATAGATTTCCAGCTCAGAGATCAATCACAGCTTTTTAAGCTTAGTTAAAAAATGTTTCAAGATACAACTAAAAGAAAGAGCTCCTTAGCAGTAATCCAAATCTGAGCCCATCTGAGAGGCTGGCCTCCTCAGTTTATGCACATATGCATAAAATTGGGTTTTTTTCCATCTAGAAGTAAATAATAATAAGAAGAATAAGTGATTCATTTTTTAAAACACCAAGCTAAAAAGATCATCTGTAATGCGACAGGAGAATGGGAGCTGCTGAAC